GATGTGCATCTCCTTTTACTTATTTTTATTATTTTGCCAAGTGGTAAAGCTTAATGCACACTAGTTAAATGTGTGTAAGTTGCAGACTTAATGTATAACATAAACACTGTTCCTAGGATGGTAGGCCGCAAACGGCTTTCATATAATCCAAAGAAGGGTTAAACCAACACTTACCTTTTGATTTATGGCTGCAGAAACTCTTTATCACCAGGAACTCTTGCCTTTAGCTTTCTGATAATTTTCTTATTCTGACTGCCAATCAAGATGGTGCATGCATGGACCTATGGCACACAACAGGAAAGAAACTCAAATTCAGGCCACAGAAAAAAATTTTATCACATGTTCCTCTTCTTATCCTAAGATACTGGGTTTCCTAGTATTGAAAAAAGTCTCCACCCAGGGCTTTTCTTCTAGGAAAAGAGGTGCCGGAACTTGCTGAGCTTTTCTTAGGGGAGTGCCCAGCCAAAGTTGGTGACCATTGGGGGGGCTCTCTTCTTTGCCCGCTCACCGCACTGCCACTGCGCTAGAGACTGTGCCACTCACAGCCTCAGTTGCTCAACATGGAGTGCAGTGCCACCCACAGCCTCTGGCGCGCAGCCCTGAGCAGCGTGCCCCCGTGCTGCAATGCTACAGAGGTGCCGGAACGCACCAAAGAGGTGCCAGAACCCGTATAAATCATTATGACAATGCACAGCCTGCTAGTATAACAGACAATGTCCTTTCAAAATGAGGCATAAATTATCTCATAAATTTTGTCTTAAGGAATAAATAGAAGTGCTCATTGTAATCAATGGGATTACGTAGATGCAATGCTAACTATGCCACAAGAAGCTGACTTGCACACTCCTGTTCTCATCCTGCCCCTGGCAAATGTGACACAACTAGAAGCTTCTAACCATGATTAGTGGCAAACCATGATTTACAACAGTCTCTAAAACCCAACAAGCTATGCACACCACTTCTGAAATGTACAGCATCAGAAAGGTACAGGCAAATCCCAAACGCTTGGGGACATGTGCACAGGAGCTACCAATTGATTTTGCCTTCCTGGTACCTTTCCACTGTTTGCTTGCAGTTACAATTCCTTCTTTGGACCTTGTCTTTATTGCTCCATACAGTGGTAGCAGGCTGTGTACAGCATGAAAGAGCTCTTATCTTCAAACCAATGCATTTAACATCAGGGTATAATTCATCAAGATCACATTTGCCTAGCCTTCACTGAGCAGTCAGAAATGCAATACTCAAATGAATGCATTTTTCATTCAGAGCCTCTGCATTTCTTCAACAGCTTATAACAGTGCAGTCATAACTAAAGAAGCACAAAGGGTTACATTTCCCTCCAATTACTATCTAATCAAGTAATATGCAATTCTCAGGGAAAGAATGGAGTGTTTCAAATAGAGAAGATCAGAAAATCTGCAGTTTCTAATTAAATTTCAAAGGGAAGGACTACACTCGGGTCTTAAGAACGCAAAGCTGACAAGTCTAGCAGTAGAATGATGGATCACCTGTGAGCAGGGGTGCTCATCATACAATTAAACACACACATATACCCGGTATACACAAACAGCAGCATTCTGGTGCTTATTCACTATCTGCAATACACAATATTTTTAAAGGCAAAGAAGTGTGAGCAACTTTAGAAATTCTAGCCATTTAAGATGGTCTTTAAATTCTCATAGCATCTTGCACTCTGAAATTTCATTTTAAAAATCAAACCGCATTAACTACTCAAGAAATTTTTTAAGCATATTTAAATTCTCTGACAATTCTCATGATAAATTACAGTAACTGAAATGCTGAGCTACTTAACTAATAAGAAAGTAGGAAGGGGAGAGTGGGAGAACTTGGCTGCTATACGTACTACTTTCAGTTCTAGTCACCTCTCCACATATCTGAGAGTATTTTCATAACAAAATAAAGCAAGATTTTCCAGTGACAAGATGAAATTATACCCAACTCACATGAAAACCCGTGGAAGGTGAAGATGCAAGTCAAGGTATTGAAACTGTAATGCAAGATTTAAAAACAGGTTTGTGTTTTTGAAATCACTGCTACATTCACAAAGCAGATTGTCTACTCACCCAATCAATAATATAAATCCCCTTCACCCTGAACAGCAACACTGAAATGTTTAATGTATTAATACATTATCATGATGCTAACATGGCATTATGTAAAGCTTGGAGGAAGGGGGTGCCCAGGATTATTTTGTGATGCAAATCAATTTCCCAGAACAGTGGTTCTTCATTTACAGAATTTTGTCATCAATAAGACTAAGGCCAAAAAAGAATCTGAAGCTCTATCTCCCTACTCCATTCAGCAAAATATAAACTGGAAGCTATGTTTTAAAATAAGCACTTTGCACTGAGCAGAGCAGGGGAATAGGACATAGTTTAGTCAGCAGCTATAATGATTCTAGTACCAAGCAGTTTTATTCTGCTTTCTTAAAATAGTAAATAAAACCAATGAAGTGAATGATAGTAAAATGTAATTACTTATAACAGGTACTTTGGCAGTACTCAACAGTAAAGGGCTGTTATAGGAATTGAAATTTCTGTACTTCATCTAATTTAAAGCAAGATCTAATAATGGAACAGCACCGCTGAGACTCAAGTGCAATGGCTGCAATATCAGTACAACGTAATATTCCATTCTTCTAGATTCAGGTAGGTAGCTGTGTTGGTCTGACACACTCAAAATATATATAAAAAAATTGTCCAGTAGCACCTTAGAGACCAACTAAGTTTGTTCTTGGTATAAGCTTTCATGTGCATGCACACTTCTTCAGATACCTGTTCACAGATTGTATTTTCCTCAGAAAGTTTGTGGTGTCACTTATGTAGCTAGGATCACTGATGGCATACAGTTTCAGAACAGAGTCCATATATCCAGAAGTGTGCATGCACATGAAAGCTTATACCAAGAACAAACCCAGTTGGTCTCTAAGGTGCTACTGGACTATATACATACATACATATATACATATATATATATATCGTAATATCCAAATTGCCTTGGATCAAGGCCCAATCTCAACACAGCAACCACCAGCTCTGCAAAATGGTCTCTGTGTCATGCCAGCAAAGATGACAAGAAGATGGAGATAGACTTAGGAAGAGATCAGCAGTTTTAGAATTTTAGTCCCATTAGTGTCAGAAAGGCCATAAAAATGCATTGCTTTGCTTTATAAAATGAATTAGCAATTATCTATCAAATAAGGCAGTTTCAAAGCTGGAATTAAATTTTTCCAGGGGAAATGTCTATATCACTAACACCCAGGTTTTTGGGTTGCCAAAATAACAGTTTTTAGTGCTTTCATCTTTTCCATGTATTTCCCAGTGTCCTTGCCAGAAGGTGGTGTGTGTATTTGTGTTGAGTGCTGGAGCCCAAGGTGACACCCAAATCCAGGCACCCCAGAGCGCAGTGCGGACCAGGGCTGTGCTTGCAGGGCGCCACGCTGCTGCATCCCCCACAGCCGCCGGAGGGCAGCTGAGAAAGATGCAACTGGCACGAGCTGGCCCCACGAGCGGTGCTGGGCCCACAGCGAACCTGAGCCATGGTGTCTTGGGCGCCTGCAGACACCATGACGCCCCAAAAAGCACTGTGGGACTGGCCTCTGCCCACTGCCTCCCTCTCAATTACCCTCCAGCTGAGGGGGAAGCATTGGGCAGACTTCCTGCAGGCTCTGCGCTGCTTGAAAGAGCAACGCGGGCCTGCAGGACGCCTGAGCGGAAAGTAACACCTCAGGCGCTGGGATTCTGGCTTTGTGCCCTGCTCACCCTGCCCCGCTATGCACGGTGCCCAAGTGGCTAGCTATGCCACTGGCCTGAAGGCACTTGGGGGACATTCAAACAGTGGCACCCAACTGGCTACTCTCCCCATCCACCCTTCTCTTGGGAAAGGCAGGTGGAGTACGTTCTGCACCACTGTGTGAAAGGCTTGCATGCCTTGGCCACATTACCCTGAGGCCCTTCCCTTGGGAGGGTGCTTGATTTGTTGCTTGAAGGTTTGGACATTTTCAAGCAGTGACAGCAACCTGGCATTCTTTCCACTAGTTCTTCCCTTGGGAAAGGCTTGAAAGGGGCTTGGCTCATAGAGAAATGGGATGGCAACTACAGTTTTTGACTCTGCCAGTAAAGCTCGCCAAAAATGATAGACCCTTACTTGGGGCAGTTTGAATTAGACCTCCATTTCTTCACATCTGTCTCTTTTCCATTCAAAGACATTTTGGCAGCTGTATAAATAGAATCTCCTAAGTATGCAATTTAAAAAAAATATATTTCTGCAGTATCTGCTTCAATAAGATGCAGCTGCTCTTTGTCTATATAGCAATGGATACAGTGCATACAAATTAATGCATTCAAAATGCACTCCAGCCATCTGCTGAAGCTCACCAGCAATTCTACATAAGATCTGCCAGCTTGTTCATAGTGTATGTTTCAATGTTTTTTTCCAAAGCTAGTCATAATTTATTTCTTCATTGCAGATGGGCTCCTATTTCTTGACTTCTTTAAGAAAACAGCTGATCTGTCATTCTTGCTTGTATGTGTTACTTATTAAACACAGAATTGTAAGAAGCAAATAAGACCCGGGGTTGTTTTTCTTTTAAAAAAAGCAAAATTCACAGCAAAAAAAATTCAAAAGCAAAAAAAAGTAAACAATAATGGAAAGAAATATGTCCCCTTATACGAGTATGGAAACAGGACAGCGAAAGCCTTCCTGATCCCCACAAAACATATGGCTTGTTCTATTTCTGATACACACAGGCACATGAAAGCTGTGAAGTGCAAGACAAGGGAAAATGGGAGCTGAATCAACAAGAGATACAGCTCTCACAGAAGCCAACTCCTGGGGGCTTCGGACCCCACAATAAAATATTTGAGGGGGCCGGGGCCCCACAAAGTTGACGGGCATCGCCATTCAAATAGCGTGTGGGAAATGCGTCATGTGATCGATTATGTGGGGTGGGGCTTACCTGGTCCCCACGATGTTTTATTCAAGTTGGCACCCCTGTCAGCTCAAGAAAGAAAAGGGGACACATAATCGGCCCTGCGCAGTAACGATGACTAGAGGCCGGGCTAGTCGGCTGCAGGCACGACGAACTCCAGCCTTCCCTAGAAAAACACAGGAGCTACAGAGGACCCCCCTGGAAAATGCGCACCGACCCCCAACCCACTTCTCAACACTGGAAAGAAGGCAGGAGATGGTTTCGCCACTGGGACGCCCAGTGAGGCCCAAGTACCCGCAGCAATGCCTCGCCAACCCCACCCGCTCGAGAACTAGAGAGGCGGTGTGCCTTGTCTCTCTCTTTCTTGGCCGCTGCACAGCGCCGGGTGCCTGGAGCACCTCGCCCGTGCAGGGCCTCACCAGCAAGCCCTCGCTCCCTGCCAGCTTTGGGGAGGTAGGAGAAAGGGGAAAGGAGGGGATCGCCCTGGCTTGGCCACCGAGGCCACGCAGCGATTCTCGACCCCCTAGTTCCAGGCGTAGCCCGCTTACAAGTTTACGGCTCTGGGGGCCGAGAAAAGCGAGCTGCTTCCACCCTCACAAACCCCGGACGACGAGGAGGAAGGAGGCCCCTTATGAGGTAAAAGGCCAGAACTGAGGTAATAAGAATATGCTCCGGACCCCAGAACTTGTCTCTCTCCAGCGGCACAGAACCGGGACAGGCACGTAAAGAGAGAGCAGGTTCCGACCGGCTCAACGGACGGGCTTCGCCAAGTGAGCTCCAGGTTGGTTTTTTCGGTCCAGCGGGCCCTCGTTCCCACGGACCTTCCCCACCGAAGCCCCTGAGCCCGCCATGTCTTACCTCAGTTAAGGCCCCAGGGCCGCAGCCCACGGCGCTCTCCTTCCTTCCCCCTCACTCCGCCATCTTCCCCTCCTTACTTCGAGCGCCCAATGGGAGGCCGGCGCAGGGCGACGCAGCGGCCGTTCTACAGAACGCGGGTCCCACCGAGTGGGCCGCTCTCCTGTCACTCACTTCTCCGCTTTGGGTTGCCATTGGGTAGGCTTCCCCCAAACGGCTGGACACGGAGAGGCGATTGGCCAACCGCGATGTGGTCTACGCCTTCTTCCGCGCGAGTCCTATTGCCGCGTTGAAGAAGTGGGATGACCGGGAGGCGGGTGTTAGGCGTTCGGGGTACTCAGTCGTTCAGGACGCCTCCTAAAGGAAGGAAGGGGTTGTGCGCGGTGGCGGGAATGCGCAAATTGGAAATTGTACTTTTGTTTATTCTGTTACATTTTCCCCCGCAGCTGCTCCTCCTCCTCGCTCAGTAGGATGCTCGTGCCCGCTGCCACTAATTTGCTCAAGTGAGCGCGTCCAAATTGAATGGGGAATGTAGAGCGGGATCTTTTGCGATCTTACTTGATGGGCCGATAGGGAACTATAACCGGCCTTCAATCCTAAACACACCAGGCCCACCCACAAGGCAAGGTGCTGCAACCGCCTCAGGCATAGAGGCAGGCAGGCAGATTCCTCCCGTTTCTGGTCTAGATCTTCACTCACCCCTTCTTCACTGGCAGGGAGGGAGGGTGCCATTTTGTGGTTTGCCAAAATGTCATGGATTGGCGCTGCCACTTACAACCTAGACAGTTCTCTCAGCTTTAGTTCTGGGTGTCCTGCAAATTACACGGGGGAGAATAAGCATTATATAAAGGGTGGTACATTCACGCCAGCCCTACTTAGGAAAGAGCTTCCTCAGTAGAAATCAGACTGCTTAGCTTTTTGCTCTGGCAGGTTGGGAATGCTTTCTTGAAACACAGTTGGAACAACTGCACAGAAAATGTAGACCAAAACCCTCATCAAAACTCAGATCACACTTGTCTCCACAGACCGAATCTTGCACTTCCTCGTTCCACCATTTTGCAAAAATAGATCTCAAAAAGAAACCCTCTGGGTTTTCAGAAGGGATTTGTCACCCACCACCATCAATAACTTGTGTAGGAATCATATATATTCACATGGGATCTGTACCTCAGATTCTCCATTTTTGTTCCTAGGTGGCGCTGTGAATTACTAGCTCTCCCTTTTTTCCTGGTGTGATCAGTGGGTACAGGTATGATCTGACAGTAATTTTCGGGGTGGGGCACTATAAAAATTCTGAAGTCCCATGTTTGGGCTCCATGATAGCACCCTGAAAGCTTAGTTTCATAATGGTGTGGGTACTGTGACTATACTTTAGGGGGAATATCCTGTAGGAAGCTATCTAGAGACCTGCACAAGTTTTAAGATTGTTGTTCTGGTTGTTGCACCATAACAGAAGAGGCGTTTGCTATATGGGACAATTTTCTGTTGTCTCCTAGTCACAGAATCATAGAACCATCAAGTTGGAAGGGACCACGAGCGTCATCTAGTCTGAGCCCTGCAATGCAGGAATATTTTTGCCCAATGTGGGGCTCAAACCCATAACCCTGAGATTGAGAGTCTCATGCTCTGCCAACTGAGTCAGTACTAATTTAGTAGGTTTATTATGTTTGGATAACATAGCACACCAAAAGGTATGTCATGTTATGCATTCATATTTTGTGTATGGGTGATAACCAACATTCATCATAATCTTGAGTTGGAGCCATCATTTCAATTAACTTACTCTGTCTTTTAGGGGTGGGATCAAGGCAAACTGAAATTACTATTAGGGAAGCTTCACATTTACAATTATGTATTTTTAATATATAGATTAATACTAATAATGGCTTGTTGTTTTTCTGACAAGACATGCCAAGAAATGAATAGTTGCAGTAACTCCATATTGATATTAGACTTTTTACAGTGCTTTATGAATTCTTTTTTGTAGACAAATGGGAATTTGCATCCACCGTAACATGAGAATCAACCTTTAGTCCCTTTAGTTAGGAACATGTTAAATGAGTCTTCAGGTTTCTACACTCTACAGTGAATTGTACAGCTACTGAAACCTAAGCAGAGCCCATCAAGTTGAGAAGTTTATATGAGTTAAAATGCACAGCTCCATTCCCCGTTATTTCTAATTTTATTTGAAGTTTTAAAATCTGTTCTGTCTTAACATATTCTGAGTAAAAGGCAGGCAACTCCTATTTATTCCCACCATCAAACTGATAAATAGCCGAGCCAGATATAAGGGCAATAGGACCACACTCTCCTGGCCTAAGAGAAAGCAGGAAATTCCAGTTGATATATATTGCTTGCAAAACATTCTAAATGCCTGCAGGTTGAAAATTCAAAGCCATTTAAAACTTGAGTAATGAAAACAAGAGGTGAGATCCAAAGTTGCATGAGCAAACATCTGCTTATGCAGCTGGGTTTCTCTTTGCTCTCCGAAATCTTTTGAAGGTTGCAGGAGCCTGCAGAGCAAGTTTTGTGTTTCGTTTTCCTTTGTTTGAAGCAGGGAGGAAAAAGGGAAGTCCTGTTGTGCTAGCAGGTGTATGTTGTGCAAGTGGGTTGACAGCACTGGATGTCACCCAATCTCTTAAAAACTAGATTAGTATATGAGAAAATAAAGTCTTTCAGCTGTAGCATTCTACAGGCACCTTGTGTTATTTAAAACCTCCATTCATTCACAGAACACAGTATGTTGAAGGATTTTATTCATGGATAGTTGATGAATATAATAGATCTGACAAGGCACACCTGTGGATTACCACTATAGCCAAAGGAAGATTGCTTATTTTCAAATAAGCACATTTCAAACAATAAATCTAACAACTTGGTGTTACTTTCATTTTCATTCTCTTTATAAAATTCCTATGTTTACATTGTGATCAAAAATTCTAAAGTGTTTGTAAGCAATCACCCTTTAATCTTGTTCCCATCTTTATAATTTGTCAGAAGGAATAGATTTTCTTCTGCAGTTTTTTTAAAAATGTAAGATAGTGTGCAATTCTTAAGGATCATTGAATTGTGTCGCATTTAAGTAAACTAGATTAACTTGCACTCAATACTTATAGAAATGCTGACATATAGCAGGGGTCAGGAGCGTTTGAACACTGATTTTTACCAAAGTATTTTTCTGCATCTTGGAAGCCAACACTGCACAGTTAAAAATGGTTGTCAAAGTTCATTGATAATCAGTGCAACAGAATTGTTTACTAACAAGCAAAGACAATCCAGCCTGAAAAGATCATCATATTCGTTGCTTTTGAGCCCTCAGTTCTGTATTGTGCTGCTTACATCAAAATTCACAATGTTACTTGATCCTTGTGTATGGTTAAAATAAAACTTTCAAAATATAATCTGAAGTAATAAAGGTACACATGTGCTAAGAATTTTCCTAAAACTGTTAGTTTTCCCACATAATTTGTAGGGACACAGTACTACTTAAATCTGGACTTTGACATGCATGTTGGAGACGAAAGGTCCAGTTGGCATAATTGGTATGAAAAGCCTTCCACTATAAGCTGTGCAACAAAAATTATGTATTGCAAACATTCACTGAAAAACAATAAAAGCACAAGAAAGAAATTTGAGTATAATGCAAATCAAAATAGTCTACATAAACAAAGCTGGTGGCAGGGGGTGGGCAGCAGAGAGGCAATCAACTTTTTCCAGTTAAGAAACAGCTTGCTATGAAATAGTTTCATTCAAGTACCCAATTACTATGTTTTCAGAACTGCAAGTTACTCTCTTGGCAGACATCCCACATCTGTGGACAAATTCGTAACATTTGACACACTTGCAAGACGAAGCTCCGAAGCCTTAATTCCGAAAACAAAACCATTGGCCTTGCATTACTTTGTGAAGTTAAGAGTGGCAAACATCTATATTTAAACAAAACCAAGGACAGAAGAAAACAGTTTGTTAACCAGACAAACCGAATAGAGAATACAAATACTACCAAGTCAGATTTTTGTTGTCATAGTTCATAAAATAGTAGATTATAGTAACATGGGAAGAAATAATTTATAACCAGAAAGCAAAGCAAAGAGAAGTGTGAGGAAAAGGCCATTTCAAGGTTCCATTCCAAGCTGCACTGCAGCCACGTTCCTTTGTTCTGATGCAGAAGGAATGTTCACATCGATGGAACAAACTGAGGGGGGTTTGGAGATGTACCTCACACGCACCAGCAGGAATGCTCAGGAGAGGGTAAAACAAACTATATTCCTTAAATATCAGGACAACAAGGAATGGGCCTTGATCCATCAGTGAAGAAATCGAATGCTCATTTTTTGCTCTACATCCACCTTCTCCAAAACCTGCAAAAAAGTAGAATTGTTAACCATTTGTCACAGGAATCGAATTCTATCTCAACATTTAGACCTTAGTCTTGTCTTAGGAAGCCATTCTAGTCAGCTTTCCTACTGCATATCCTCTTGTGCTACAGAACTATTTTTTGTAGATCTTGACCTAGAGGTCATCAGTAATATATTTTATGGAAAATGAAAGCTGTACTTAGCAACACTTGCATTTGGAGTGTATTTAATTGCATTTATGGAATTCAAGATTATCCCTGGGCAGTCCATCAAAGCACTGACCAAACTAAATCAGCTTAATTTCAAGAAAGGCTCCTGTATCATGTACCCACAGACCATGCCTTGCAACAGCATGCAAAGTTGTCACACGCTAAAAATATTTAGAAAAAATAATGTGTCTAACAAGAACCATTTAAGCAAATA